TACTATACTATATAGTAGTAAAATGCATATGAACAGTAGCCTACTTTTTGATCACTTCATCAGTAATATTCAGGAAATAGTAGATATTGAATTGATGTTGGAATTTATTTACATGCTTTTTTTATTTTCTTTTTCATCCTCATTCCAAATGTTTGGAAAAGAGGAAACCAACAATAAAATAGGAGAAAGTACTAAATTATTACTATATTACAATACATTAGTAGTAAAACACATGTGAACAGTAGCCTAATTTTTGATCAGTTCATCAGTAATATTCAGAAAAAGATCACGTCCACCCCTGCCACCCCTATCCCCGTTGGGCAAATGGTCAAAATGATCTGTTTGTGCTTCGTGAACACTCGCCTTGCACGGCAAAGATGTACCGCGAGAAGCGCGCGCGGCCCAATTGCGCTTCAAAGATCTACCGGGAGAAGCACGCGGCACCATTGCGCGTCAAAGATGTACAGAGAGAAGCGCGCGCGGCAGCATTGCGCGTCAAAGATGTACCAGGAGTAGCGCGCGCGGCAAAGTTGTACCGGGAGAGGCGCGGGCGGCACCATTGCACGGCAAAGATGTACCGGGAGAAGCGCGATCATTAGACGGCCGATCGTCATTTACAAAAGGCAAATATTCCCCTTCAGAGTCAGAATCGGCGAATAACATTTGCAACACATCCTCACGGTACAAGTTTTTATTAGCCATTTGACGATTTTCTCTCACAAATATCACAATTTACTCAGACGCTCTGAACTGAACTGCTTCCGCATCAATGACACGATCGCACACTTGCTCTGCTGTTTCCTCCAACACTTTGAATAGGAACATGACGTCATTTTGATCTTGAATCGAAGTATTACATGTCTGCCATCTAGTGGTAGGGAATACAAATTAGATATTACACCATATTAGGATCTACAGCCTGTTTTATTAAGTATGACGTCTTGTCGCAATTTTGCGACTTTGGCGCTTAAAGGGTTAAAAGACTGATCGACTGATACGTACACCAGGTGACCTGTAAATACGAAAAATGCATCACAGTTTTGCGGAAATATTCTTTTTTCGAATTGCCTGAAAATCCTCCTCATGCGAGCATAAAAACGTTTTTTTGCGATATATGGGAGTTTTAGTGAAATTGACGTGTTTCCATTGGGCATATTTTCAATTAGCAATTTATTTCTGCAATTTGAAGGGTAATGGATCGCAGATTGCCCATGATTGGCCACCACTACAAGTAGGCTACCTAAAAGGGTAATGTGAGCTTTAAAACTGGACCATGAACCATTGAAAGAAGGTTGCTGGGTCTGATTAATCATGTTTTCTTGTAGGACAGTCGTGTGTGTTTGTTACCTGTGAAAACGATGGCAGTATGATGCACAATTGGGAAGAAGGCAGATGGTGGAGGCAGTGTTATGCTCTCAATGTTCTGCTGGGAAACCCTGAGTCCTGCAATGGATATTACTTTGACATATGCCACTAGCTAAACATTGTTGCAGATCATTCACCCCTTCATGACAATGGTGTTCCCTGATGGCAGTGGTAACTTTTAGCAGGATAATGCACACAGACACAGTGCAAAAATTGTTCAGGAATGGTTTGGAGAAACATGAAAAAGAGTTCAAGGTATTGCCCTCCAAATTCCCCAGATCTCAAACCAATTGAGCATCTGTGGCCCTGTTTACACCTGGTATTATGATGCGTTTTGGTCAATCGGATCACAAGTAGACGAGGGAGACTCATTCCCGTTTACACCTGTTTTAATCTGTCTCTTTTGTCCACTTTCAACCACTTCTGTCCTGATTACTTCAAGGGGAGCGTCTTTGGGAGTCTATGCCTCGGAATGCATCGGGGTTCGGGCCTGACTCGTCCATAGACTGGAGAAGCTTTGCCTAATAAACATGCAACACCGCCATGGTGTGCAGGGCCTAAAAAAGCGCTTCCGGCGAGGGCTGAGGTGTTCCGGCAGGTCCTCGAGGGGTGCACCGCTCTAGATCTCCAGCCAGCAGCAGTGGGTGGACACAGGTGGGCGGAGACTGCTTCCTCTAGCGGCGGCAACTTCTCATAACCTCTTTCCGCTGTGCCACCGACAGATGAGAGCGTAGCGGAATGTAGCGCCATGACTTCGCTAGTTCGTCATGAACCTCTGGGAAGAAAGGCGCTGGTTTGTGACGGGGGGCCTGCTGGCGCCCTGGCAGAAACCATCCATCCAGCCGACTCCTATGCGGCTCCTCGGGTGCAGTCCATTCGAGACCGAGGTCTGAAACGGCCGTAGTGAGGGTGCGCATCATCTCGGCGTCTGAGTTAATCTTGGTGGCTTTAGCACTAGCGCAGGACTGTGAGGGGGCTGGGTCAACCGAGCCCGACCATTCCTCTTCAGACGCATCAATGGAGAGGCTGTCGTGTTCTTCGTCGAAATTTGCTCTTTTACAAAGGATGAGTGTCGCGGGGCGAACACAACAGCTGCAGTAAAAGGATATTAGAGCTGTCTCGCCGGATGGCCTCAGGAAAGCAGCGACAGCGACTGTAAAGCCCGGCTCGATCGGCCCAATGGAGGCATCCGGTCAGCGGGTGAAGGTCTCTGCGTGTTACTGTCTTTTCTCGTGGCAAAGTATTTTTGATTAAATGCAATACATTTCTCATATGTATTCTCTCGTTTTTCATCTGACTCCATAAATGAAAAGGTTTTTTAATGATTTCTGTGCATCATTAAATATAAGCAAAAGTTTGAATATTCCTTTTAACTCTAATGAAATAATATCAAAGTCAGTTAGAATAATCAAATGAAAGAATTTATTATGTCAGGCAAATTTATCATTCCAATTTCATAATCAGTTCAAAGATAATCAATACAAAACATAAAATGCTCTGGAATAAAGAGAAGACAAACCCGACATTAGGAAATACATGAAGCTGAGAGTCTCGGCGACTCAGCATTCACGGGCTCATCTGAAGTACAGAAAAAGCCCAGAGCCCTCTGCTGCATTTCATTATATAGACAGACTCCATTTTCATATGTAAACATGAGTCCACAGTGTAAATTCACCTTAAACACCGTCCCAGACTTACTGGGGGCAGAAGTTGATTTACATGGAACCATTTGCTAACAGTGGGAATTTGCATTGAGTTAACACCTTCTGAGAGCAGAAGGGTTTAACCATCCACCCTCCTTTGTGTGTATGTTATCTCTAAACTCTTAAAAACCTTATTACCTTTTGTTTTCCTTATTTGGAAATGAGACATTTGTACCAGTCGCACTGAGACATTTCAAATGATACTAAACATGTATAATACTCTATGATAATCATTCACATTAAACCGTTTAGTTTCTTGTGTGAGTTTGGGTAATCTCTGCAAGGGTGAAGAATGAGGGGGAGAAATGTAGATTAGGATGAGGGAGGTGAGACCTTCGTGCACGAGTGGGAGTTCAAATGTTCATTTTCAGCAAGGTCCTTTGTCCACTCGAGGAGTGGTAGTTCCTCAACCAGTTTTTCCAGTCTTACAGAGACAACTTTGACTAAATTTGACAACTTATTATTTGACAACTTTAACTAAATTTGATTACGACGGAGCCGTTGTTAATGCTCACTGGGAAATGCGAAGCTAACGTTATCTTGCTATTATTTCGTCCTTGTATGGGAGCTAAAGTTATAACCTCAGGTGGCGAAATGTTTTATCGTGTGTTTCTAGTAATGTTTCTCTTTTTCTGCATTCCGTTCTGCATTATATGAAAGCATTTATCTAACTTGGTGACATTACACCTTGAATTAAGTATCAGTAAAACTACAGGGGGAGGGGACGGGATGAGGAGGAGGGAGGGTCGAGCTAACCTCCGTTTTGTTTGACAATACTTCAAACGTCAATAAGAAGTTACGTCACCCAACATCGCTTGGAGCACCTTTAAACAAACTCTTCATATTTAATGGTATTAGATAATGTGTTATTTGTAATTAATAGATTACACTTTCAATAATACGTGAAAACAGGCGTTAGCACGTGTCGAGCACTTTGAAACAATTAATAATTTTGGTTAAAGGGGTCATCGGATGCCCATTTTCAACAAGTTGCTATGAATCTTTACGGTCTTCATGTAAAGTTTGTAATATACTTTGGTTAAAATTTCTCAATAGTTGTGTAAAACAACACCCTTTTAACCTCCTCAAAAAACAGGTCTGTTCACAGCGACCATTTCGGTGCATGTCTCTTTAAATGATAATGAGCAACTGCTCACCCCACCCCTCTCTTCCACACAAGACACATACGTCTTGGTCGACTTGAACCTGTGCTGCACAGACCGATCGGTTTATGACATCAAAGTATCGCAAGAGCGATTGAAAAGCAAATGGAGCGTCTGCTCCCGAATCGCTCTCGCGGTGTTTTGATGTCATTCACCGATCGGTCTGTGCAGCGCTGGTTCAAGTCGAACAAGCCTACAAAGTGCTGCCTTGGCGGAAAGTATACAAATGGCTGAGGGCGGAAATATGCTAATACGGGACATTCCGTCAGCGGTCGTGGGTGGAGCATGAGCTCAGAAAATCCAAACCTGATTATTGAGAGTGTATAGGCTTTTTGAGGATAAAAAATAAAGGAGTGAATGAATTTTTTTTTATTATTATATGGTGGTTGTGTCCACACACTGGAAAGACACATTTATATGCAAACACCATAAAAAAAGTGAATTTTGCATCCGGGGACCCCTTTAAATTGATTCAAAGTTTCTAAAAGCTTCGTTTCTCTACACGAAATGTCTGACCTGTGAACAGCTGGGGTATATAAATAAGATAAGTTACCGTTACTGTATAAAGCCCTGCAATAACAAAATACTACACGATCACCATATGAATCTCCCGGTTCTCTGGTGAACAGACGGGTATCATATGATGTTGCGTAGCACCGCCTTTGCATGTTTCAACTAGGTCCTGTAAGCGAATGTAAATTTCTACTCGCACACCTTCAGCTCTTTACAGATTCCGCTGTAAAGAGTAGAGCTGAAACGTTAGTGAAACATGTCTGGAAGAGGCAAAGGCGGCAAGGGACTCGGGAAAGGAGGCGCTAAGCGTCATCGTAAAGTATTGCGCGATAACATCCAGGGAATCACCAAACCCGCCATTCGTCGTCTGGCTCGCCGCGGCGGCGTCAAGCGCATCTCTGGGCTGATCTACGAGGAATATGGCGAGTATTTAGTGCCTAATCATGGATTACCAGGAGAAGGAGAAGTCTACCCTGCCGTCGCCGCCAGAACGTGTGGATTTTTGAATGGGATTGATTGGGACTGCCGACGGGAGACCAGCGGCGACGTCACAGGAGGACCGTCTTCCGGTGGCGACGTCACGGCGACGTATATTAGAATTCCAGTAAAAAATAACGCCTACTAACAACGTCTGAACTAGGTACGTCGCCTCAAAGCCGTGTGACACACGTCGTCACTAAGTACGTCGCCACCAATACCCATTGTCAGTGTAACTTTATTTTAACTTTATTGAGTGAATTCAAGTCATGTCTTGTACAGCCTGTTATAAATGCTTTTATTCCTCTGGCGACTGGGAACTCTGGAGTAGCCTACAGTTCATAACACAGTTCATGTGTTGTGCTTTATTGTTTGGATTCACTGTGCCAACAGAAGATAATGCTTTCACTTCCCCCACAATGTGAAAATGGTTGTATTAGGTCTACAGTTACTTATAAAATTAATCAATAAAGTATTAGAGCTGTTTCATTCAATTTCTGTTATTAACTGTAGGCTATTTGTTATAGGCATTTGCCTTTGGTTATTTTATTGGCAACAAAGTATTTTACATGCATATTTCTGCATAATGATTTGGATTATTTTGATCATGCAAATGCGTTACTAATCAATGTAATCCTATGAGTTATAAGATATATGTTGCTTTATGTCTGCACTTTTTCAGCAATTACATTGTCCTTGAAGTACAAGAAAGCAAATTAAAAATCTTAAGACCCTCACTTAATGCTCATAATATAAAGCTCCCATGATTCTATACCTAGAAGAACACCATTTAATGTTCAACTGTAGACAAACATACAGGCAGTGTTGGGGATTAGGCTAACTACATACATGCAATTTAGTCAAATAATTTAATTACAACATACTGTAAATGTAAGTGTTATCTGTTACAGTTAGGCCTACTGGTAAAATATGTAATTAAATCACAATTTCTTATGAAAATGTTTAAGATGCCATATGAATATTTTCTTTAATAAGCTTGGCTATATATTGAATAATATTCTTTTTGTTGCATTATGTGTATTTCATGTGCACATTGTCTTCCTTTGCCATTTCCAGCCACAGTTGTTTAGTAAAGTTTGTTGCTGTTCTGGTGCTTTTGATTGGTTCTCATGTTTGAATTTGCAGCACTCAATTAAACTGCCTCTCAAGCTGTGTTTTTAAAATGGTTAACCATTGAAAAACAAAACATTTATGGCAGCGTCAAATATGAGGAAAACATTGATGTAAATAAAACATGTAGCTTGTTGTTTAGCTAGTTTTTAGTTTAAGTTAGAGCTATAGTCTATTAACGAATAAATGTAAAAACACACTCAATGTAATATTTAATTAAGTAAACCCCACAATTAATTGAGTTTTTGAAGTTTCTGTTGTAACGTCTATTGCAGTTTTCATCCACTAGATGGTGCCATTGTCTTTGAATAGGCCTTGTGATGAGTGTTTTTAACCATTTGATGTGTATGTGAGCATGGCAGTGTGTTTGGTTTGTGTCACTGAGTGTGATGTAGTTTTAGTGTAGCCTATAAAAATAGTGTGTACAAGTTCACAGCAGACCAACAGAAACAGTGATAGCTGCCATTTGGCTGAACAATTGCTGCTGCTCATTTTCATGAAACGTTTTTTATTTTTTTATTAGAAATTGTATTAGCAAATGTATACTTATTTTGGATAATCTATGCTATTGCAAGGTATTCTTCTGGGCTTTTTTTTCCCTTACTCAGGACATATTGAGGATACAAAATCAGTTGAGTTTGCTTCTGTTGCAATTTGTTCAACCTTTTTTCATAAAAATGACTGGACTACTAAGTTTCGGTTCATTTAAGAGGTTAAGGTTCAAGGTTCAAGGTTGAACCCCATTTTGGCTTAATCACTCCACCTGCCCTTATGAGTCCCTCCATCACTCAAGCTGCCCTTATGAGTCCCTCCATCACTCCACCTGCCCTTATGAGTCCTTCCATGATCCATCTCTCCACCTGCCCTTATGAGACCCTCCATCACTCCATCTGCCCTTATGAGTTTCTCCATCACTCCACCTGCCCTTATGAGACCCTCCATCTCTCCATCTGCCCTTATGAGACCCTCCATCACTCCACCTGCCCTTATGAGTCCCTCCATCACTCCACCTGCCCTTATGAGTCCCTCCATCACTCCACCTGCCCTTATGAGTCCCTCCATCACTCCACCTGCCCTTATGAGACCCTCCAACTCTCCACCTGCCCTTATGAGTCCCTCCATCACTCCACCTGCCCTTATGAGACCCTCCATCTCTCCATCACTCAAGCTGCCCTTATGAGACCCTCCATCTCTCCACCTGCCCTTATGAGTCCCTCCATCACTCCACCTGCCCTTATGAGTCCCTCCATCACTCCTCCTGCCCTTATGAGTCCCTCCATCACTCCACCTGCCCTTATGAGTCCCTCCATCACTCCACCTGCACTTATGAGACCCTCCATCACTCCTCCTGCCCTTATGAGTCCCTCCATCACTCCACCTGCCCTTATGAGTCCCTCCATCACTCCACCTGCCCTTATGAGTCCCTCCATCAATCCTCCTGCCCTTATGAGTCCCTCCATCACTCCACCTGCCCTTATGAGTCCCTCCATCACTCCACCTGCCCCTTATGAGTCCCTCCATCACTCCTCCTGCCCTTATGAGTCCCTCCATCACTCCACCTGCCCTTATGAGTCCCTCCATCACTCCACCTGCCCTTAAGAGTCCCTCCATCACTCCACCTGCCCTTATGAGTCCCTCCATCACTCCTCCTGCCCTTATGAGTCCCTCCATCACTCCACCTGCACTTATGAGTCCCTCCATCACTCCACCTGCCCCTTATGAGTCCCTCCATCAATCCTCCTGCCCTTATGAGTCCCTCCATCACTCCACCTGCCCCTTATGAGTCCCTCCATCAATCCTCCTGCCCTTATGAGTCCCTCCATCACTCCACCTGCCCATATGAGACCCTCCATCACTCCACCTGCCCTTATGAGTCCCTCCATCACTCCTCCTGCCCTTATGAGTCCCTCCATCACTCCACCTGCCCTTATGAGACCCTCCATCACTCCATCTGCCCTTATGAGTCCCTCCATCACTCCATCTGCCCTTATGAGACCCTCCATCACTCCACCTGCCCTTATGAGTCCCTCCATCACTCCACCTGCCCTTATGAGACCCTCCATCACTCCATCTGCCCTTATGAGTCCCTCCATCACTCCATCTGCCCTTATGAGACCCTCCATCACTCCACCTGCCCTTATGAGTCCCTCCATCACTCCTCCTGCCCTTATGAGTCCCTCCATCACTCCATCTGCCCTTATGAGACCCTCCATCACTCCATCTGCCCTTATGAGTCCCTCCATCACTCCACCTGCCCTTATGAGACCCTCCATCACTCCACCTGCCCTTATGAGTCCCTCCATCACTCCACCTGCCCTTATGAGACCCTCCATCACTCCACCTGCCCTTATGAGACCCTCCATCACTCCACCTGCCCTTATGAGTCCCTCCATCACTCCACATGCCCTTATGAGTCCCTCCATCACTCCACCTGCCCTTATGAGTCCCTCCATCACTCCACCTGCCCTTATGAGTCCCTCCATCACTCCACCTGCCCTTATGAGACCCTCCATCACTCCACCTGCCCTTATGAGTCCCTCCATCACTCCACCTGCCCTTATGAGTCCCTCCATCACTCCACCTGCCCTTATGAGACCCTCCATCACTCCACCTGCCCTTATGAGTCCCTCCATCACTCCACATGCCCTTATGAGTCCCTCCATCACTCCACCTGCCCCTTATGAGTCCCTCCATCACTCCACCTGCCCTTATGAGTCCCTCCATCACTCCACCTGCCCTTATGAGTCCCTCCATCACTCCACCTGCCCTTATGAGACCCTCCATCACTCCACCTGCCCTTATGAGTCCCTCCATCACTCCACATGCCCTTATGAGTCCCTCCATCACTCCACCTGCCCTTATGAGTCCCTCCATCACTCCACCTGCCCTTATGAGTCCCTCCATCACTCCACCTGCCCCTTATGAGTCCCTCCATCACTCCACCTGCCCTTATGAGTCCCTCCATCACTCCACCTGCCCTTATGAGTCCCTCCATCACTCCACCTGCCCTTATGAAAGTATAAAATATGATTTAAATGAGTATAGCTGAATACATAACTATTGATTTAAAATAAAACATGTTTTTTTTCACAATTACATTTTTTGCTGGTCTGGTCATTTCATGGACACACCCTATTTACACTTGACAAAACATGTGTCTGTGTTCCAAAAATAGATACTATTTCTGATAAGGCTTTGATGTAACACTGAATATCTGATTATTCACAACCAATAAAAGAGTAACATTTCAAATTATTTTTTACATAATATACAGAGGCTGTGGAGCCACCACCAGCATTCTGACTATTTGAATTGAGTGTGACCAGAAATGGTTACTGAGTTCTGACTAGCCCTGTGTCAAAATTAAGTGTTATAATTCTGTTTGCAAATTTGAAGTAAAACACCTTGTCAATGCCATTGTCATTTGTAGTATTATTCTTGATGTTACCTAAATCAATAAAGAAAAAATGCTTTTTTTGAAGATGGGGAGCACGTTGAAATATAAACTATATTATGCCATCTTTATTTAATTTATCAGGGGTAGCATATTCTGATAGACTAATTATGATTTTTGACGATCAGCCAGTGTCCTGACGGCATGACCAACAGCAAAGTTGCACAGATTTATGGGCAGGGAAATGGACAACGCTTGTGGAACACGCACATGCGCAGAACCCGGTAGCATAAATCGACAGAACACCGAAAAAAGTAATTTGGACAACCTTACTGATAAAAATCTACAAGAAGTAGGCCCTACTAGTGGCAACATTTTTTCTTCATTTGTTGTAAACTGTATAAATTGTTTGCAAAAAGTGTGGTCCTCTCTCGATGGTGATTGTCTAAATGCATGAAATCTCCCGCTGGCCCATCACCAAAAGTGACGTTATGTCATATTTTTAATAAATTACCACTTGTGCATTATTTAACAATGTGCACCCTAGATGCCAATTGCAATCTTATGATATTCAAACATTAACTCACAAGATATTATCGACTTTTTCAGCTTAAAATGCATTATTAAATTGTGCAATTGACAAAAAATGCAACAGTGCCATCATGTGATGAAATAACAAAACAGCATGACATATTGAATCACTCCACTGAAGAGAACAAATAGGAAATATTTTTTTCCTCTATATTAGTATAACAGTATTAACAATGCAACATACAGGAATACATAATATAGTCTATGCTTACAACGCATAAAAATACAAACTGCAAATAGGAAAGATGAAAAAGAGAAGATTTGATGGTTACTTTCTAGAGGGGAGGTTAAAACTATGTAAAAGTGTTTTGCCTCAAGGAGTTCATTGAACAGTGGTCATATTTCTAGAATATTTTCACACTTCCTTTTAGTTTAATTTACAAAAGAGCCTTTTACCAATTTGGACATAGACATCATATCAACAAAGCTAAAGTAGCCTAGTGTTTTTTTTATAGTACAAACTTCTCAGCTGACATAACTTACAAATTTAAGCTCATTAATATCTTCGAATAAATATCCATTAGATTACCGTCCTTTTAAATTTCTATGTAAAATTAAATTTTACAGCAACACTTTTAATGAAGGCTGGAGCATGTAGGCCTGTACACACTCCAGTCTAGTTGGTGGCGCTAATGCACCTCTCAGCTAGTTTGCCAAACGACAATAAAAATGAAGAAGAAGTCGAAGTTTGAGAAAAAAAAAAAATCAAGGCTGACGGCGATGGGCTTATCGACGACGTTGTGCACTGACGGAGTACCCTATCCACATCCACACACGTAGCTGTCACACGACAGTCTCCTTTGTTAGGTTATCTGTGGCACTATCCACTCGCCATACGAGGAGACCCGCGGAGTGTTGAAGGTGTTTTTGGAGAACGTGATCCGCGATGCCGTCACCTACACCGAGCACGCCAAGAGAAAGACCGTCACCGCCATGGATGTTGTGTACGCGCTGAAGAGACAGGGACGCACCCTGTACGGCTTCGGGGGATAAACGCCTGAAACCAGGACAAACTACACAAACCCAACGGCTCTTTTAAGAGCCACACACTCTGCCACACAAAGAGTCAATGTTTTGATCACGTCAACCATAGAGTTAATTATAAAACACTTTGTATTCTGAATCTGACGCACCCCACCAAAAATAACTTTACACAGGATTAAATGAGACTTATCAAGTTTTTTTTTTTCTTTAACAGATGATAGGTAGGCTACAAAAAAAAAAAAGTAACATTGTTTTTGTATTTGATAACTGTCCTTAATTTGTATTTCTTTTTGTTAGGGAATTTAACTGTGTTTAAACTTTAGGAAGCCCCTGTTTTGTTTGTTATTTTGGCCTGGCCCTCTCCTGACGATCTGGTTATAATTCAAATGTGTTTACCTGTTTACTGACCTTTGTTTGTTTTGGTTTTTATGAATACATTGGTTAAGCCTTTAATAAAGAGAAAAACTAATTAAGCATACTCTTTCAGTTTCCTTTTGTGACCGAGTGTAAATCTTTTGAACATAAATGTGAACAATTAGCTGGGATAGAGGAAAAGGACTTTTCTCACGTTAATTTATATATTTGAACTTTTTTTTATTATTATTGTTACTCCCTCTTTAAAATAGACTGGAGAGGGAACGTAACACACGTTAATCAATTTAACGAATGCTGTTTTACAAAATTAACATAAAGCAATTAGAAATAAATAGTACCACAGATGGCAGAAACGAAAATGTTATATAATTGTGCACAAACGGTCAAATGGGCTTTATTCATGCAGTTTAAACAGTTTAACAACATCGTTTCATGCAATAAAGTTCCGTGAATAAACTGTTTTTAAAGCGTGTCTGACCATTGTTGGTCTCCTTCCTCCCAAACTCGCTCTACGGGTCTATAAGAGGTTTTTAAATCACACGATGATCCACAATATTAGAACAGAGTATTTTCTCAAAAATATTATATAAAAGGAGCGGGAAAAGAAACAAAGGAAACTTGGAGGAAGGCTTTCGTTCCAACTTATGGTTTCAACAAGGAGCGGTGGGCGGGACTATAATTTATCCGCCTGTGATTGGCCCTCGTTCCTCTCATGATGCTTTGAGTTGTCCAATGAAGTACGAGTTAATGGGTTTGGCCTATGAAAATAGACAATCAGACGTTTTCCCCATCCCGTTCAAAATTAGCATAGGGCAGTGAATAAAGACCTCTGTATCGTACTGCATTTTACATAAACTCGTCAGTCTTTTGATCTCGCATCATCATGCCTGAACCAGCAAAGTCCGCGCCTAAGAAAGGCTCCAAGAAGGCCGTCACCAAGACCGCCGGTAAGGGAGGAAAGAAACGCAGAAAGTCCAGGAAGGAGAGCTACGCTATCTATGTCTACAAAGTCCTGAAGCAGGTCCATCCTGACACCGGCATCTCCTCCAAGGCGATGGGCATCATGAACTCTTTCGTCAACGACATCTTCGAGCGCATCGCCGGTGAGTCGTCTCGCCTCGCGCACTACAACAAGCGCTCCACCATCACTTCCAGAGAGATCCAGACCGCCGTGCGTCTGCTGCTGCCCGGAGAGCTGGCCAAACACGCCGTGTCCGAGGGCACAAAGGCCGTCACCAAATACACCAGCTCAAAGTGAGGCGTGTCTGACTTCAACTACCCCAAAGGCTCTTTTAAGAGCCACCCATCTTCTCAGATAAAGAGCTTCTATTCTTCTCTTTTTAAGTGCTGGAAAATAGCATATCTTTATTTTGGTGTCCTTCCCATTCTTTTAAGTGTTTTCTACTCCAAAAGCAGAAGAGTTTCAACAGCCTAGATTTTGGAGTTACATCGATCAGACTTGTATCATCCTTTTTTTACCCACCTGCTTCTTGTGGGTATACTCTATTCAAAATGATTAACTAGAAGTTATAATAATACCTGCTTAAAAACAAATGTATGCTTATATTTATATATTTTTTTCCTTTGATGACAGTCTCACTCCACCTGCTCCTTTTTAAGGCCAGAATCTAATGTAACTCTGAGAGAGATGATACAGGGCAACTTTTTGAGCAATGTTGTTGGGCAATCTTGCCGAGCGATTGTTGCTTGGGCAATGCATTTCTATCTGGATAATTTAGATCAGTCGTGGGCCCTGCGTCTCATCTAGTTGCCCATTGACGGCAACATTGCTCAAAAAGTTGCCCTGTGTATCACCTTTAAATGATCATTCTGCTTTACATCTGTGGACCAGCACGCTTATATTGTATGACCTACAACACTTTATATACTATAACATGGAGGCCTTTACTGCACCATTTTGCCACATAGTGTAGATCATACAAAAATAAATGACATTTTGTGTTTTTAATAAACTAGTCATTAAGAAATCTGACTGGCTGGTAATTATAAAATAACTACTTTTCTGTGCATCATTCTCAGTCTCTCTTTCACTCAAGAATGACATGGATCCACAGAAAGAGTCATAAACATGTAGCCAATCTCTGTTCACAAAACTTATTCAGCATGTTAGCTTTTATTCAAGTAACTGTAACGAATATACATTTTTACATCATATAGAAAGCAAGACAAAGAGAAAAACAAGTCTATAAGGAGAAGGCTGGTTCTCTCTCACACACACACGAAGAATACAAGAGATGAACAGCTTCTCCCCTCTCCACATTTCTCCAAAGTCAGCATGTTACAGACGAAGAGAGGGTCTATAAAGATAAAAACGGAGAGACAGAAAAGTCAAGCTGAGAACATTTCTCTTTCAATTCAATGTGGAAGAAATTTAATATGTTCTTTATGTTGGCATTTAATTATATTTATAGAATCTTAGAAATATGATGGTAATTAGATTAATATATATAGTGTCGATATACATATCCTTATGAATGTGGATGTCGTTGTATATGACCTGACAAAAGTTAATGTGTGACTAAGTGTATGACCAAGACAGAAGGTCTCCATTCAAGGATATAATATGACTAAATATGTTAGACAAACTAAACAATGTGTTGGTTATGGCTAAGACATATCTTCATTTAGCCTCGAGGAACAACTATAAAGAAGGAAGGATGCCCCAATTCGTTGTCACACTCTGAAACTAAAAATGAATTGTTGGATCCTTAAAAGCTCTTGTCATTTATGTCCTCAAAATCTCACTCCAACCAGGCAAGCAAAGATGGAAACCCTGATACTATTAGTTTATGAACAACACAACTCAATGGTTCAATAATTTTTAAGAACAAAAGTATCCGTTTAAGCACATGTCCAAAGTATGTTGTTTCAGGCCGAAAAGTTTTCTCAGTTTTGGTTCAGGGTTACAGAGAGATGGTGTAGGCTATATTTGGTTTTATGTGTGAGGCTCAAAATCTCCTCACTAATATAGTGGATCATGAGGAAAATTATTATTCATAATTGTTTTTGAATGTTTAAATTTAAAATGTTTCAACATCATTGTAGTTATTATCAGCTCTTCAGCTCCAGTGTCCTCTTTAATCCCTGTTTAACAAGGGACGTTTTATTTACGTTATATGATGTACATCAGCTTAGTAAAATTATATCTATATATATATAGGCATATATATATATATTATACCAATCATTATTATTGACAGATCATCTGCTGACCAGACATGAGTCACAGTGAGACTCGAGCCTCCGGATGATGTCCGTGTGCTTCAAGCTGCCCAAAACAACATCTGTATGAAAGCCTCATCACGCCCCTCACTGATGCTGATTTAATTAAAGTCTATTTCAGAATGTTTGCTGAACACACAGAGTCACACAGAGTGTGTTCAGGCGTTCAGGCTTTTATCAACCTTTTCACTTATCCATCAAATTTACACGCGTCTTTTCCCCGTGGCTGATGCTCGCCTTGGATTTGATCTGACAAAGGCAAAATAAACATTTCCTTTCGCTTATTTTAGTCTCCGATGAAACTAAAGCGAAGAAGCCCGCGGCCAAGAAACCCGTTGTTGCCAAGAAGCCCAAGAGCGCAGCGGCAAAGAAGCCCGCCGCCAAGAAATCGCCCAAAAAGGCCAAGAAGACCGCAGCCAAGACCGCTAAGAAGGCGACGAAGAGCCCCAAGAAGGCAAAGAAGCCAGCAGTCGCTAAGAAAGCAGCCAAGAGCCCTAAAAAGGCAAAGACTGCTAAACCTAAGACTGCAAAACCTAAAGCCGCCAAGCCTAAAAAGGCAGCGCCCAAAAAGAAATAAAGTCCAGTGTTTTTGTTCCTCAACGGCTCTTTTAAGAATCCCACTAAATCTGAATGAGAGCAAAACTCGTATGATTTGTGTTAATTTTGAAAGCAAGTATGTGATATTGACCTCTTGGACTCATTCTTTCTGAACTTCAAGTCATGTTATCCATTATTTGTATATAAGAAATTTATTGTAAATGGCCAAAAAAAAAAAAAAAGCTGAAGAGGGTTCAGACAGTGATCACAGTAAATAGGATGTTGTATAACACAGTACAGACAGAATATATTCACACACTATGCTGGAGAATTGTGACAATACAAACAACCCACATTCAACAATATGGGCACTGATTAAACTCCAATATTACAATAGGAACATAATACTGTACAGTATCAGACGGTCAATGTGCCCAGAATATAGTCTCTCTCTTTCTCTGTGTGTGTGTGTGTGTGTGTGTGTGTGAAAGGTGCAGCACTTTTGGAAGAATAATATCCAATATCCATTTAAACCAAAAAATGTACAGTAACCTTAGATGTCAATTGTTTCCATACACACAAAAGATGACATATTTAATTTTTTATGACAGATGTTGCAATTTCAATGTGTTAATCATCTCAGCTTAAGTGTAAAAATATTTTTTGCAAATGAAAATGTGAAAAAAAGAAAGAAAATAGAGCAGTGCTGCGGTAATGACATCTTGTGTCGGTAAGGACACAATGTTAAACTGCCACGAAATCAAAAACAGGCTACTGTAAAAAAAAAGAAAAAAAAGAAAAAAAGAAACATGCTACATAAAACAAAAGGTATTGCATGTTTAAAAGATAGTAGCAGTTTTGCAGTAAATAACTATTTTAATTAACTCTTACTCTTTTAACTGCTTCAAAAATATTGTATCCTAAAGTTAATGATTCATGTTTATATACTAATATATATACTAATATATGCTTCAGTACTAATAATATACTGAATATTAGTAATTTAATATACAGTAAACCTTAAATTTGTCTCTACCGCAACACCTAAATTTGCTGCGGTAAAGACATGTTGCGGAAATTACATTTTTGCTAATATTTTAGCTAATTGGCAGCTAGCAAGGCCTACCACATTAGTTTTGACTCTTAGCATCTTAACATACATGAATTCAACAGTAATATACATTTATTTTTAAAATGTAGTTCAAAATACACAATTATTAAGCTGAATGGTAAGGACGCACAATAAATACTAGAGCAGAAAAGATGATGTTTACCTTATTTTTTTGGTATCTTGTGAGTGAGGTAGTGTGGTGGCCCAGTCTGTCAGCAATGTGCTCAAGTGATAATTTCTGTTTCCAGAGAAACTAGACTTGTTTGGGTTCGATAAAACTTCATAATAAAAGCTTTTTTTCATTGTTGCGGTAAGGACTCAAAAGTGTGGGACAGGCACATTTAGTTAAAAAAATCATAAAAATGATCAGTAAATAATACAAAGAATTTTAAGGTGCTGTAAATGAATCTGTATATTAAACAAATTATTTTATGTATCTCAACATTGAGACCACAGGTGTGGGACATTAACAAAAATGGTGTTTTGAGCTATAAATGCTTCATAATATTATATTTAATCACATTAATCAGTAATTATATTTTTTGTCAAGGTGTGTAATGGCACTGTGGATATATTTATGAAACATCAAATGTCAAATTTGAACATAAATAAAAAATGTCACTGTTGGGACTTAAAAGTGCCTGTAGTTGCAGAAACACCCGTATATATATATATATATGTGACCCGATCTGGCGAAATGAGTCGGAAGTCGCAACGTTCTATTTTAAGATATGGGCCGATTATGTGGAAAAACAATGAAATAATAGATTTTTTTTTTTTTGTGCTAATTTCAAAGAACAGACATTCAAAAATAATCTCCCAAAGTTTCATAGTCCAGATAATTGAGTAAAGGTATTTAAATTACTATTAAAGTGTACAAAGTTTTACTAAATTCGCTGGAAATGAACATTGCTTTTCTCAACTCCTCTCGTCACCTCTGAGCATTTCCCGGGTATCCCCTGAAATGTCACTATCTCTGCTCTTTAAATGGTGTTACACGTTGTATAGAACCAATCAAAAAGCTTAGAAATGTACACAAATGCTGATCATTTGTCGATGGGAAGCCGTTTCAACTGACCGGCACGCGATTGGTCCAGCCACCCTCCTGTCAGACTCGCAGCGAGCGCTCTGTGTAATAAACAAGCTAGCAGATCTCCTCAGAAACATTAAATATTATTAATTTGAGAAATGTCGCTGTCAAAAGTGAGCAAAGTTGCCAAAGCGTCATCAAGCCCCCTTGGCCATTGCACACTGAGTCCGCGTTTTTTTCGTATGCGTTTTTTTCGGATTGATTCGGTGGCTCCGAATTGTCAAAACACCATTCAAACTGCTTGCTACGGATGCGAAAAACTTACGATTGTTTTTATATAACGGATGAAAGTTTCGTAGTGTGCACGTGTGATTGACATAACGTGATTGACAAAGGTGAATGAGTGTAGCTATTTATCTGCAAGCAGAATCCATTACAATGTGTTTGATTAATTACTGTTGGTATCTCCGTTATGAATTTGTTACGCTGTTATTGTCAACTAGCCTACACTAAGATATGATTGCATAGACTAGCATTATTTGATCTCTGTTTCCTTGTCTCTCTGCCTCTCACTCTCTCTCTCTCTCTCTCTCTCTCTCTCTCTCTCTCTCTCTCTCTCTCTCTCTCTCTCTCTCTCTCTCTCTCTCTCTCTCTCTCACACACACACACACACACACACACACACACACACACACACACACACACACACACACACACACACACACACACACCTCTCTCTCAAGCAAAAATGTAGCACCTCTGTTCAATCTTTCTGATTTTAGTACATTTTTGTAAAAGGTAGGCCTACTGTTAAATTATTTATTCAAATAAAAATTTTTTTAAATAATTTGAGCTTCAGCCTGGTTTAATAGCATTTATATATTAATTTCTTTGGTCAAATTAAGCTGTAAAATATAGTTTATCCCTTTAAATGTAATGGATTTTGAAAGATATCAACAAAAAACGGGCAAAAAACTTTAAAATCGATTTTCTCAGGTTTTCAATTGGAAAAAGAGGGCAGACGACCATAATTCAAATGTGTATATCTTTACAACCATTCAAGGTATGACTTTGACTAGGATATCAATTGAAAGCTTATGGTCTCCTCTTTCCATTAATACCAAAATCTCAATTTTTTAATTTGGGTCACTGTGACTCATTTTGCTGGATCAGGTCACATATATATAATTTTATATTTCTATGGTTTCATTCATCTTTCTGTCTTAAAGGTCATTAATACGTGTGCATAATAAACCCACCAGAAAGGGGGTTGGGCTTCGGAGGGAAGTTCAGTGATTGGTTTGAATCTTTACAGACTCTAAACCAATGGGCGACTGGCACTCTCGTTTAAAGACAGTATGTGGAGACACGCTGACATGATTTTACTACATTCGACCGTAATATCTGAATTGAACATGAGCGGCAGAGGCAAAACCGGTGGTAAAGCCAGAGCAAAGGCTAAGACTCGCTCCTCCAGGTCGGGACTGCAGTTCCCCGTCGGCCGTGTTCACAGGCTTCTGCGCAAAGGAAACTACGCCGAGCGCGTCGGTGCCGGAGCTCCTGTATATCTGGCGGCGGTGCTCGAGTACCTCACCGCTGAGATCCTGGAGCTGGCTGGAAACGCCGCTCGGGACAACAAGAAGACCCGCATCATTCCCCGTCACCTACAGCTGGCGGTGCGCAACGACGAGGAGCTCAACAAACTTCTTGGCCGAGTGACCATCGCTCAGGGCGGCGTGCTGCCCAACATCCAGGCCGTGCTGTTGCCCAAGAAGACCGAGAAACCCGCCAAATCTAAGTAAACAGATCGAAGACTTGGTTACTGAAACAAAGGCTCTTTTAAGAGCCACCTATTTTATCTGTCAACGAGCGATTTTCTCTGTTAATATTTACAAACCGCATAAACGCTTTTGGTTAAGAGGTAGAATGACCCACCTAACGACTAGAAGTTACCTCGACGATTAACGTTACAGTTGACGTTGTGCATGTTATAAGCACATGATGATCACCTAATGTGTGTTTACCACCAATCCATCTTCCCTAATCTTAAAATATAGTTGTTTGCTAAGCTCTGATAATATATTGAATAAATGATCATTCAAAATAAAGTAATCTACATATCGGCTTCGGGGAAACGGAAATTGATCAATCAATGTTACTCTGGGTCTTTGCCCCCTTTAGTAAGCAGGGCTGATCTACTGATCCCCTATGTCACGGGGAGGATGGAAACCCTAGTGTGTCTCGCTGCAGTGCTTTTATACAGACTGTAATGTGATTTTGTCAAAATCCGAGATCTGCACTAACCACTGGGAATTAAGGCGAGTATTTAATAACAAACAAATACAACATTGTGAGTGTAAAGGCGCGCAAAGTAGTCAACGGAACAAAACAGCTCGAGCGGGAAACTCTCCGCTTGTTTGAAAAGAGGAAACGCGCAGTCATTGGCTGGCACTCATGCGCAGACGTCACGTACTAACCAATCACGAGGCCTGCACCATCGCGACACGTCGAGCTCGTGGCGCTACAATGCTTTAAAACCGGGCGTGTGTAACACAGAGAGCCGTATTTCCAGGCTAGCGCAAGCAGGACAGAGAGAAGAAGACCGCAGCAATGGCGAGAACCAAGCAGACCGCTCGTAAATCCACCGGTGGTAAAGCCCCGAGGAAGCAGCTCGCTACTAAAGCCGCCCGTAAGAGCGCTCCGGCCACCGGCGGCGTCAAGAAGCCTCACCGTTACCGGCCCGGGACCGTGGCTCTGCGGGAGATCCGCCGCTATCAGAAGTCCACCGAGCTGCTGATCCGCAAACTGCCCTTCCAGCGGCTGGTGAGAGAAATCGCGCAGGACTTCAAGACGGACCTTCGCTTCCAGAGCTCCGCTGTCATGGCCCTGCAGGAGTCCAGCGAGGCTTATTTGGTCGGGCTGTTCGAGGACACCAACCTGTGCGCCATCCACGCCAAGAGGGTCACCATCATGCCCAAAGATATTCAGCTGGCCCGCCGCATCCGCGGAGAGCGCGCTTAAACCCGCGTCTGATTCAACCCACAACGGCTCTTTTAAGAGCCACCAAAGCTGCATAGAGCGACATAATTTCCAGAATAACTCCATATGAGTAGAAAGTTGTATTCAAGCATTGATTACATTAACACTATCTTGGTCACCGTTCTCTAAATCATCAGTTACCGTAGGAATTAAGTTCGAAATATGAATTCATTCTACGTAATGTTTCAAGTATCTTAAATTATATCGGTTATGTATTTGAATGTTTGTATAGACATTATAATCTAATCTTGTTTTACTTGAATGCTGTGATATCAGTTGTTCAGGGTGCGAATTACATAATGGCACATTATATATAAAACACATATTATTGAAATTACCAACTATCATGCGCAATTGATTGACAGATAAGCTGCGAACTCTGATTCCAATGTGGGTGTGGAAATTTTCAACACAGTTAGAAATGTATCTTCATATTTACAGGTAAAGCTTCTTTTCATCTTCAAACAGTCTTACCAAACTAGACTACTTTGGTGATTCTTCAGTTAGGGGAACTTTTATGTTCCCAGGTTATTCATTCATGTTAAAAATACTATTATAAAATAAATAGTTTAGTTATTTCAAATAATATTTATTGCACCACCAAAAAATTTTATTCACTAAAATCAGTATGATTTCCATTTTTAAAAATGTTTTCATCACTAATATTTGGCTACTCAGGCCTTG